TTTTTTTTTTTTTTTTTTGAAAATAGAGTAAAAAGATTTACTCATTGTATTTTTAAATAAGAAAAAATAATAATAATGAAAAAATGTGATTAAATATTTGACCTTCATTTGAAAGCACGTTAACAATATTTTTGAACGAAAATTATAATTAATGACAATATTTTCTGATTAATAAAATGTCAAAAATAGAATAGACCTTCAAATTAATTAAAATAGGTGTATTTATATATAAGCAGCCAATAAATTTGGCCCCATCTCATATATTTTATGTAAATTCTAAGAGGCGGCCATTCCAAAAGTGAAAATTATTAGCCAACCTTCAAGTATTGAACATTGACTGAATAATCACACACATTAAAAAAAAACGTGATTAATTTAAAAAATAAGTTATTTTAGCCCTTGTTTGATAAAGTTAAAAATTTTGAAAACAAAAATTTAAATCAAAATTAATAATTAATTTTAATCACATATTTTTTCGAATTCGCAACTTTTTAACATTTAATTACATATCTCATCAATTTTTTTTTATTTATCAAAATTATTAAAAATATAATTTTAAGTGACACTAAACAAGGGCTTAAATTAATTCTTTAACTTCATCTTTACTTTCGCCATATAATTTATCAATTCTAAAAAGTTCAATCTTCGGAGATTTCAATGTTTTAAACCAATCAATCTTTTTATATAGTAGTAGTTTAGAGACATGAATAAGAACAATACTATAAGTGCAGGAAAAATCCTATAGATTTTGCACAGGAAGACAATTTGTGCAAAATCTGTGAATTTTTTCCGTATAATGCTCCAAGTACAGGAGCTGACTTGAGGCCCCACCCATGAATTAAAAAAAAAAATTGTGGCCCCACCCCCAAAATGTATGTGGTCGGGCAGGCGCCTGTAAGTCAGGCCCCTATACCTGAATCACTGCCCATTTTTTCTTGTACCTATATATTTATTCCATGAAGAAAATAAACATGATTATTTTATTTTATTTTATTTATTAATCTGCATAACTTAGGGGTCTCTCTCTCTCTCTCTCTCTCTCTTTCTCTAAAAGCGATGATGCACATGCATGCTGAAAGCTACAGGGATACTGATTGGCCCAAGTTTTATTTAATTTTTACAATTGATGAAAGAATAATATTTTTAAGAGGGTTAGTTGGATGGATTAGGTAAAGTTTTTATAATTCAAGAGGGATCCATCACCTAATTGACTTTGAATTTATTGATAACGAAGTTTGGTTTATGCTCGTTTTCCATCCAAAAAGCGTGGCATTGTGGCGCACATATCAGCCGGCGGCTAATATTACTGTAATATATACTATTGTACTGTATGTATATAATGATTTACATAAATATGATGTGTTGTGATATGATTGGATGAGAATTTTTTCTCTTACTTTCTTTTCGACACTTCATCTACATATAAATTATTACGTTACTATATTATGTACAAGTACAGTAGCATTAATTATTTGTCATATTCTATTCATGGATAAGCCCGCCACCTCCAACTTGTATTGGAACAAGTAGCACAACTGTCACGAATGTGACTGGTGAGGTCGATACAATGAAAAAACCTTGAACCAACCTATGACATATATAGGTAGGTATCCATATATCTCTGAACTTGAACCCATTTCTTCCTCAAGTTAAGGTTCTATCTCCAGGATGATAAAAATTGCATTTATTTCTTTGTTTCTCCTTCTGGGGAGTCATTTGGCATATAGCCGTTCGATTAAGGAGGATTTGAATTTCAATCCCATATCAGATGGTGTTGACTCGTTTAGAAATTCATCATGGGGTTTATCGTTATCGGCAACAACAGAGAGTTGTCAGCCAGTTTATGGGATCTTGCCATGCTCTTCTAATGTTTGGGGACTGCTGTTTTTGATTGTCATATATGAGATCTTGCTTTCTGTGGCAGAGAGATATGTCGCAAACGGGTCGGAGCAGTTTTTCGAGATTATCGGGCCGGGTGGAATTTTCGGAGCCAGTTTGTTTCAGTTTCTTGGAACAATCCCACAAATCATCATAGTTCTTGGTAAATTACTTCTTCTTATTTCATCTATCAAGTGGTTTTTATAGTATGGCTGGCTAACTTTCATCATAGATTAAATAAGTCTATCTTGTGTAAGAGTTAATGGTCAACAGTTTATACATTTGGATGAGGTAGTTCAACTTCATATCATATATCCTCAATTTAAGGCCTTGCAGCATTTGCAAACAAAATTTTGCAAGATCAGAAATTCCTTCACCACCGGTGCACAAACCTGCATTAATTGAGCAATATATATCTGACATTCAGTCCCTTTTTGGCCTATATTTCTTGAAACTCATTTTCAATCAACACGGGATGCACAGCTTTTATCATTTTTTGTCAAAATCGACCCAAATTTGATTTCAAGATGCAATTTTTCTAGTTGGGTGATGCATTCATTCATTATATTGTCCAATCTTACCTAATTTTGTAAGACGGGTCTTATCAGGAAGTCTAATTCAGGCCAGGAAAGTCATATTTGACTGCAGATGAAAGTGTTTTTAAATTCATATAATACTACCTATGAATCTTCAAAGTCTTATAACATTTCGTACGTTTGACGGGTTTTCTTTCTGCTAGTTGCAATAAAAAAGGAAGATGACTAGTTGTGAGCATTGTTTCCAAAATAAAATACTAGATTACTGGTCTCGTGAAGACAAAAATTTGCGAGGCCAACCAAAAATTGATTGGAATCTTTAAGGTCTGTTTGATTGCAAAGGTGGAAAATGGGTGGAAAGAAAATGTTTTACAGGGAATTGAATTTTTTAGAAAATGTTTTATTAGGAATTGTAATTAATTGTGTTTGATTTGTATAATTTTCTATGGAAAATGTTGAAAATTTGGTGTCCATTTGACTTCGTTTTTTATGAAATTTGTCCATTAAAATGATAATTTTTTCTACTATCGAGTCTAAATTTGTTCTCGTTGTCAAAAAAAATTTTGAAAAAAAAAATTTACCATACCAATTATCATTCGTTTGACTTTAGTTTGCATGAAAGTTGTNAAAAAAAAATTTACCATATCGATTATCATTCGTTTGATTTTATTTTGCATGAAAGTTGTCAATAAAAGTGAATTTTTTTTTTTACCATTGTGTCTAAAATTTGTTCTCATTACAAAAACAAAAAAAAAACAAAAAAAAAAGGTGGAAAATGTTTTCCCACCTATTAGGTGAAAAAACATTTTCCACCATTTGTGCATCAAAGGGTTGTACCTAGAAAAAGGGTGGAAAACATTTTCCGTGAAAAATTTCGCATATCAAACAGTCAAAAAAGTGAAAGTAGGAAAATATTTTCCTAGTTCCCTAGAAAACTCCGCCAATCAAACGGAGCCTAAGACTAACTATTCCCTGATCTAGACGTGTGTGTCTTCTCGTACAATAGGTGTAGGTGTCAACCCAGAATAATTTTTCCTGGGGGCCGGACTGGGCGGTTCGTGATGTAAATTTACAGATCATGATACCAGCAAACAAAAGGCTTGAGAATATTTGCAGATCAAGAATTAATTTGTGCAACAAAATGTAGATAAGATTACTCCACTACAATATTCTCCTGTCAATAAATCCTACATTTCATATTAATCAATAAAACGTGATTTTGGTTACATATTAACCAGTTTTTCGTGTATTACAAATCATCTGATAATGGCCATTGTGTTTTCAGTATCTGCACTTTCGGGAACCACTGAAGCAGCTCAACAACGAGCTAAATTGGGAATGGGAATGGTTGCAGGATCCACAGTCATGTTCTTGACGTTGATATGGGGCACGTGTGTCTTGGTTGGCAGCTATGATCTTTCTGAGGCCACTCCAGATAATACTGGAAATCAGAGAACTCTAAAAGGTCTTATTTTCTTCACTTCATTTTATTGACAAGAAAGTGTAATTTTGATGTATATGGTAACAAGAAACTGCTTTTGTTAAAGCAGGTTTTGGCGTTGTGACTGATGTTCAAACGATCTATACTGCACGAATAATGTTGATAACATTGGTTCCACTTGTCATTCTTCAACTTGAAAGTTTTTTCCATTCTTCTGGGAAACAAGTCGTTACACTTATTGCTCTCATTATCACAATGGGTCTCCTAATTGGTTATATCTTATATCAGGTAATAAGATCTGGTATAAACATAATTTTCTATTCTTTTTCCTAAGGGCATGATCAAGATTTTAATCGTAATCGAGTTTTGTCAATGATATTGGATTTTTATGAATATTTCAAGTGAAAATTTGTTCATACTGCATCTATGTATTCGCCGAGTTTTGTCAATGATATTGGATTTTTATGAATATTTCAAGTGAAAATTTGTTCATACTGCATCTATGTATTCGCCCGAAATACTTTGCTCAGAAGGGACCTATACCTTTTTATCTTCAGATTTTCCAGCCATGGATTCAGAACAGGAGATTTGAGCTTCTGATGTATAAATACGCAAAAGACAAGTTACTAACACTCTTGACCAGAAATGGGAGGCCTGATACTCAAAAAATACAACAGTTAGTACTAGTTTTAAATTCTTCTCTCACTTTGAAATTGCACTAATTTATTCAGCTCGAGATCTTTACATCTATATACACTTGTTACAACGCTGATTTCATTTTTTTTTTTTCAAATGATAGGTTGTTCAATAAAGTCGACAGGAATAATAATGGATCAGTATCAGCAGCAGAGCTCAGAGTTTTGTTCTTAGGATTGAGGTCGGACAATGATTTGAGTACAGATAAAGATGTGGAGGACATCATGGCATCTTTTGATATCACTGGTGATGCTGGTGTCAACCGGGACGAATTTGTCACTGCAATGACAAAATTAGTTAATGACCTATCCAATAAGACTCGAGATCCTAAAAGTCGAAATGCAGTGAGTAGTAACACTAAGGTAAAGTCATTTTTTTGAATTTGAAATGTAGATACATACTTTTCAAAAAAAAAGTTTACATTCTATTAGTTAGTTCCTCTAATAATTTATTAATATTGAAATGCAGAACACCAGTGCCGCACAGCAGAGTCTGTTGGCTAATAATACGACCCCGAGCACGACCCCGGCTCCAACCCCTGGCACAAAGACTAGTAATGTTTGGGTTACATTCTTTAGGGCTGCTTTTTTCTTCGTAGTCGGGACTGGCATGTTGCTCGTACTTGCAGAACCTCTCATTCAAAGTGTTGTGACATTTTCTGAAGTTGTGAATTTGTCTTCTTTCGCTGTCTCGTACTTGGCTATTCCATTTGCCATGAATTACAGAGTTGCAGTTGCATCAATTGGTTCAGCAAGACAGAAGACAGAAAATAGCATTTCATTAACACTATCGTCGGTATGTCTAATTTTCATTCAATGCTGAATCACCCTATCTAAAAATTTAAGATCTTAAAGAGCAAAACTATTTATTTATTTAAGTTTACTCTTCGACACACATTGCTTTCGGAAAATTTACTCAGACTCTCCTTTTGTAACAGCTCTATGGTGGGGTGTACATGAACAACGTTATAGGTCTAATTGCGTTCCTCGCCCCCGTCTACTTTCGTAATTTGTCATCAGACATCTCAGCTGAAGTCGCTGTTCTTCTCGTTGTTTGCATCCTGATGACCTTATTCACAAGCTTCAGTACGACATTTCCTCGTTGGACAAGCTACATAGTACTACTTTTGTACCCGATTTCTCTTGCTTCAGTTTATGTTCTGACCTCCGTTTTCGGATGGTCATAGGTATTGAATATGTGTGTGTTAGAATTATAGGGAATAGTCGTTTTATAGTTTTTTGATTATCCATTGCAACGCACTTTATTTTCCACGAATATTGTACTGTATTTTTGTTTATCAGCACTATTATGTACCAATTATCTTGACTCACGGAAATTCCATTAGTTCTTATATTTTAAAGGAAGAGTTTGGATCTTATATTTAAGACGACAATGTTCGACACAGTTGTTAACAATTTCTCGACACTTGTCATTTAATATACAACGATCAATCCATAATAGGAACACTTTAAATCATGTAGACCAACGAACCTACTAGTCATTTGAACTCTCTAAATTGCTAAATCCAAGTTCACGACTAATATGCATGACATAAAATATTGCAAAGAAAAAAATTCGAATTACCGAAGTTCCAAACATGGGAATCAATATATAATGATTCAAAAGTTGTCTCAAAAGATAAAATTTAATGAAAAGATTCCAATAATTTCTACATATTTAAGCGGCTTACAACTGACTTTAATTTTTCGTTCACCCGAAATTAATACTAGAAATAAAATAAATCACGATAAACTATTCCCGAAGTTTAAAAAATTTGGTCTTTGAACTCTCTTAATTGACTAATGGGTTTCACTTAGATAATTTTTCAAAAGAGACTTTTACTAACCAATTTTCGACATTCCCCAACATGAATAAAAATTAATGCAAAACATTAAGTGACACAAAAAGGATTCCAATCGTAAAGTTATTGTATCATAAGGGATAACTTTTGGCTTTGAACCTGTTAGGTTTTTAGTGTTGATGATTCTGTAAACAAAATGACTAATTTGTAATGTATTGTAAAAGTAAAGGATCTAGGGTGCAATTTTTATAAATTGGGTTATGAGGTCTAAGGTTCGAGTATGAAAGAGGAGAAACACGATGCTGCATTTTCATTAGCAGGTCTTGGAACAGACCTTGGAGTTAGCAGGAAATAGATCGGGAAGTTCAGTGGAGTTGACTATATAACATCTGATTGTAACTCACTCTGTATTGTCTATAGTGAAGGAAATTGACTCGGTCCCGTAATTTTTACCTAGTTGGGGTTTCTCCATCATCATATCGGTGTTTCTTATTACTTTCCTTATTACTAAGATATTCAAACATATGATAATTGAACTTGTATGTTTAATCATCTAGAAACAATTAAAAGTGACATGCTGCTTTTTATTGATTAATTCCGCGCATAGGGTTTAAACTAAAAAGGGATAAGTAATAACCATTCGGTAACTTAAAAGCCGTTAAATTAGTAATTCGTGAACTATTAAGTGGAATCTAGTGCGACACCCGATTCTTCAGAACTTGCCTTAGTAAAATACTATCAATGAACAAAATGTTTTGAATTGTAAATTTGTTGGTATAAATCGAGATAACAGTACATACTCGATAACTTTTGTAATACTTTCGAGTTGTCTTGATTGGTTCATTTTGGACTGAACGACTATTGAGTTTAATAAGTGCTTTGAGAATTCAAGTTTTAAAACAATCTCACAGTAGTGGTCTCAATTAACACTTGCATATTTGATCTCCTATTAGGAGTACATGTCGTACTTCACTTGATTTATTCAAGCTATATAAGTCATTAAAATATTAACTCATTATAAACACCCTGTAGATAATACTTTTCTTATCATAGAAATAGGTGGGAGTTTAAGTCTCAAGTGCTTAATGAATCTCCATAACTTAGTTTTTCTAGTAAACCAAATTCATGGAATCTCTAGTCAGCTAGGTACAAGTACAAAAATCTTTACATGGTAGATTTTAAGTACATTCCCATCAATAAGTAGCATACTTGATCTTTTGTTAAATATTTGGTTACCATATTCACAAGATGCTCATTTGATTTCACATAATTAATAGATTGCATTGTTTAGGATCAATTGCTTAATGATATTATGTCAAGACTTGCCATAATACAATTGACTCTGTCTCTTATTAAGTGTAATTAGTTATCATAATTAATTCATATAACAAACATAAATCGTCGTTAATTAGGAAACGTTTTGAATTTACGTGTAAAATTATTTATGATTAAAAATGAGATTAAGAAAAAAAAAATAGGTTTTTTTTATGGGGATCAAACAGAGGTTAAATAATCCTCCTAGAAATATTTGAAGCCTAATCCTCATGTCTAACTTTATCTAAGGCTCTAAATTCATCCTCACAATTCTCAAGTTAATATGAAGATTTTCACAAAACAATTGCACTCCGAAGAATGATTCAATTTGATGTCCATTTTTCAAACTAATAATCCTATGTTAGTGTGAGTCATCAAAGTGCCAAGATTTTCAAATAAATTTTCCTTTTCCACCCATTTTCTAGGCTAATGCATCAAAGGATTGTACCTAGAAAAAGGTGGAAAACATTTTGTCAGGAAAATTTGTGCTATCAAACACCCTTAATTGACTAAAGTTAGATAATATTTTCCTTTTCCACCCATTTTCTAGGCTATCAAACGGACCCTTATAATAAAAATTTGGCAGTCCATGGAACTTCATATAAAGGGTCATATTAAGCTTGAAACCGTTGCAGCAAGAAATAATAGTCAAGAGGAACTTGCACAACCACATACAGATATAGACATTATAGACTGATTCAATGGAGGTCCAAGGAGTAAGCACTCAAATTATTCCCTCATCTCAACCTCATGTGAAGTCTTCTTAGAAATGCACATCTTGGTTGGAAATGGTTAGCGGAAGATTTGAGACACCTAACCTGGAAGGTTTTTTAGAATTTAATTTTAGTTTCTCTAACAACATAAAATTATCTACCAACTAAACTTTTAACTAGCATAAGCTGAGCAGAAGTATCCAGCACATAGGAGCTAAGAACAGTGGTTATAATGGAACAAGTTTTGGTCTAAATTAAGGCATTGTAGTATCTTTCTGCACGACCCTAGGAACTTTGGTTTTGATTTTGCTCTAGGAAAGCAGGTGGCTTCTGATACACAATTGATGCTGCCCTAATCAAAATTCCGGCAGTTAAACCCCATATCTGGTACTTTTTATCGTTCATTTCATAGTCAAAAAAATGGATCAGATACTTCTCGCCCATCCATTCTCTTTCTTCTGATCTTCGATTTTCATCCTGGGCAAGACCTCCGGTATTTATCTTGAGATTATTGCAGATTTAGGTAAAATAACTCAAATAAAAGGAAAACTAAATTTGAATATTACCTTGAGAAACATTTCCAAGGGAGCATCAAATACAGCTTCTACTTCAGCAGCATTCGGAGAGGGATTGAAGTCCTTCTTGTTGGACAGTATGCCAATAACAGGAATTACTCTAAGGAGATGCTGCAAATATTATTTAGATTTAATTGTCAGTCCGTATAAACCTTAAGCCATAAAGCATATCTAGATTTTCTCAAATGTAATCTTTGTCATGCATGTCATCTGTAAATATAACCATTTACTAATTGGAGCAGTTTGTCTCTGTTCCTTTATAGGTTGGCAACCCATGGCACAGCCGTCATGCTCTCAAAGCAACGCAACCTAAAATTTTCACTTGTATACACCCCAAGTGAACTTATTTATCAAATATTGATTACTTCACAAAAGAGAGAACAAACCAAAAAGAAGGGAATTGGGTTATCATTGTATCTTAGCGTTAACTGCATTAAGTCTCTTATTTTGTTTTATATAAAACAACACTTTGGGTTTGGCAAAATCATTAAAAGTCATGGAAGGATAGTTGAAGAGGCCAATGCACGAGAGCCTCAGTTGTAAGAAACATTTTGATTTTAACAATAGGCATAAAAGTAAATGATTGAGCTAAATTTCTCACCTAGAATAAACTTTGTTTAAACATCTTTGAAGAAATTTTGTTCCCAAACAACATCAAGCATAAAAGTAAATGATTGAGCTAAACTTTTCACCTAGAATAGTAAGTTTTGTGCCCAAACAACATCAATACTCAGACTTCAAGTTTTCTCAACAGGTAAAAGATCCAGGTTATATCTAAAGGAAGATTAACATACCTTTGACAAGAATGGTTCAAGACAAGTGACAACATGTACAAGAGAAGGATCCAACCCGATTTCTTCCTTTGCTTCCCTCGTTGCTGTCTCAGCATCATTGGCGTCTGTCTCATCTGCCTTACCTCCAGGCAATGAAACTTCACCTGCATTAAGCATTTTTTTTTTCAGTTGAAATCCATAGAAAACCTTTATTAACGGAACAGTTTATCATGAATGAAGCAAAACCAATACAAGCTGAGATGGTAAACAGATATGGTTGCTTATATACCAACTCCATATATTAGTTAAAAATATATATATAAATCAATACTGCATCATTGTTGAACATGATATATTGATGTAAACAATAAGCATCCAGTTCTGGAGAGCAAAGAAATCTAAGTCTTAAGACTTGGAACAAAAATTTTTGACAACTCTTGGATAAAACTCTCTACTGTCGAGTAGAGACCTGAATTCTTGAACCGATAACCATCTTTCAGCTAGCCTAGCCTCCTCCATCCCTCCAGACTCCTTATACCCTTCACGATCTGGAAGCACTTTTTCAAATGCTAATACAATCAGCGTAGATACAAGTGTGTGTATTTCTCTTTATTTGTGTGAAATGTGATGATGATACTCGGTTACAAGAAAAGTGAGAAAAAATAAAAAACACCAACTTTTTACTGAATTGATCAGAACCCACAAAGGTAATTGCATAAACACATTCTTAATGATCATGTTCATTACAAACATTAAATTCACCAAAAACCCATAAACAAATTGTTCAAATCACCCAACATACACAAACAAGATACTTCTCATAATCAACCAAAACACACAAATTATAAAATAATATCCACCTAAAATCAAACATATTATAAATAATCTGTAAAACAAAATAAATATCAAATAAATCTAACCAGAATGAGTGGAAAGCTTTGACGATCTCTTAGTGAGAATGACTCTAAACTCTCCAGAATCCCCTTCAAAGAGGCAGATGAGGACTGCAGCTCTCTTAGGTCTGAACCTCTCAGGTGGCTGTTGAGCAACAGGGGTTACAGATTCAGCAAAACCCAGTTGGGAAACCAATTTCCCTGCACTCTCCTCCAATTTCTGTTCCTTCTCATCATCATCAAATGGTGTTGAAGTTGGCTTGTATTGGCGCAGCTGTTGGGCCAAAGCCATGAGCTTTTGTGAAGCCCCAAACTTGTTGGGCGCACAAGAATCCATGAAGGTGAATCTTGAGAGACAATATGCGACTCGAGGTGATAATGAGGTTGATGAAAAGGCTAGAGAAGATATTAAAGTTCTTCGAATTAGTGGGAGCATAGGTCCTATATTACGTTTAATCTGCCGAGCCTTGCTATCTTAATTATTGGATAATGGTTGGAATCTAGGAGTGCGGCAGTTCAACTCTTGATTACTGGTCCTGTTGTAGGCCGTGTATAGAGCCACGAAAAGGGCAAAAAGAAAATGAGAAAAATGGAAGAACACAGTCACGTAATGAGTTAATTTAATCAACAGTGACCCAACTTTAAACTTGTTACCACTTGATAACTCAACTTAAACGGGTTATTGAACGGTATCTCATCTTTACTTATAGTTACCCATCCGTCACTCAATCGACTCCCGTCTCTCCAACTCAACAGAAAATTACACGTGGACAGACGGAATATGACGTGGCAAGACACGTAAGTTAAATTTACCACCTGGAACCCACGACTTCTCCCTTAAAAGACGCTTCTCCCTCCCTGTACCTAACCCTTATTCCCAATTGGAACGGATCATCCATCTCCTCCGCCTCGTTTTCCCCCTCTTCATAGTTTATCAAAGTCGGATTTTTTATGTACATTATTTTTCAGGGCAGATATTTGAAGGTCCGAAAATGCAAGATTCGTGGTTGGCTCCAGTATTCACTCAATTTCCCAAAATTAACAAACGGTTGGCTCCCGGCGGTTCGGCTCCTGGAAGGACGACGACAAACGGTATTTTGAAGTTGATGTTTGTGTTGGGTTGGGTGTGCGTTGATTGATTTATTTGCAGAGGGGTTTTGTGATTTGGAGTTAGCAAAAAAAAGTGTTTGATGAAATGCCAGAGAAAAATTC